TTTTTTTTAAACAGCAACATGTAAAAAAAAAAAAATTGGCATGGCAGACCTCACGGGGAGGGCGCGGTCAGCAAACAAATGTGGAAGGTGCGTGTTTTTTGTGTAAAGATATGGTAGCTACTTCGACTTTCTAATATTTGTTCTTCAGAAAACAATACAGCAGTTGCTTACTATACTGAATGAAATCCATATCTTTATAACTAGAAGGTGAGACATTTTAGGATTTTAAGAATAAGTTACATTTTCTACATTTTAGTATAATTTGTTAAGAATGGAAGGAAGGTGAAAATAAGTGTATTGGGTAAAGTTTTAACTTGACAATAAAATATTCAAAATCTTGTTTCATTTTAGCATGCCCCTTATGATGGAATGATTATAATAAACGTCAGCCGTTATGTTGATGAGAAGATTTTTGAGAATGAAGGAAAATGGAAGGTATGTTAGAAAAAATATTTCATCTTTTTTCTCCTAGTATTTTTTATAGATATAATATTTTTAAGTCTTTCCTATTTTCAGGGTTCAGAAAAAGTGCAGAATATACCACTTCCAGAGGAGCTTGTTTTCACTGTAGATGAGAAAGTATTAAATGACATCAAACAAGCTAAAGCTCAGTATCTCAAGCAGGTAGATTTTTCATTCTTCTCTTAGCTAGTAATCCTTTCTCCTTTAATTTAGCTGTTATCCAAGTAATACAGTATAAAGCATTTTAAAGTTATAGCTTTAGGTTACGAGGGAGGGGAGGAGTGGGAGGGAAAAACTCTAAATAGACAAGTGGTAACTTTGGTGGAGGGTAAGACAGTACACAATATGGGAAAGCCAGCACAATTTGTCCAAGGCAAGGTCATGGAAGCTCCATATCCAAACTCCCTGAGGGACCACATTACTGGGCTGAGGGCTTTGGGGACCATAATCTTGGGAACATCTAGCTCAATTGGCATACCATAGTTTATAAAGAAAATGAACATTCTGCTTTGGTGAGTAGCATCTGGGGGTCTTAAAAGCTTGTGAGAGACCATCTAAGAAAAAGTAGAAAAATAAATAAAGTTATAGCTTTAATATCTTTAATTATTTCTGATGATTAATATAAATGATAGTTTTTATTATCTTTGGGGTATTCTCCTTATGTGATTTTTCACTGTTCCCATTTAATTCTTTTTGTTAGGCATCTGATCTGGATATTGTGGTTTATGCCTTTACACCTTTTGGCAAAAAGCTAACCAAGAAGAAGATGCTTCACCCTGATACATTTGTTCAGCTTGCACTTCAGCTGGCCTATTACAGACTTCATGGACGGTGAAGACCACTCATTTTTCATTTTCAGAATCTCGAAATCTAAAGGTTTATCGTTTCCATAGCCATTCCATCTTAACTCCCCAGTGGTTTTTTTTTTTACCCCCTCACTTTTCTCCAACTGGTACTCTGTCCTAATTTGCAGTTCTGTCAGCAGTGTCTGAGAGTTTCATGTCTTCCATGACCTTGACATTTTGGAAGTATCTGGTCTCTTCTAACGTGGCTTGTCATTTTTTGGAATTTGGATCACTTAGTTTTCTTGTGACCTCAGATTTCTGATGGGTTCATGAAAAGTTATAATTTTATAGATTATCCAGTCTTTCTTTTGTTAGGATAGTAAGACTGTTTGTTGTGACTTTCTACATCCTAAGCATAAGTGGAAACTCCTTGTCAAGGGGCGAATTGTGTCTCCCCAAAATATGTGTCAACTTAGTTAGGCCATGATTCCCAGTATTGTGTGGTTGTCTTCCATTTTGTGATTGTAATTTTCCTATGTATTGTAAATCTTAATCTCTGCCTGTGGTTAATGAGGCAAGATTAGCTTATGTTAAAGAGGATTAGGGTGGGATGTAACACGTTTACCCAGGTCACATCTCTCATCCAAGGTAAAGGGAGTTTCCCTGAGGTGTGTGTGGCCTGCACCACCTTTTATCTCTCAAGAGATAAAAGGAAAGAGAGTGAGCAGAGAGATGGGGACCTCTTAAAACCAAGAAAGCAGCACTAGTAGCAGAGCGTGTCCTTTGGACCCAGGGTTCCTACGTGGAGAAGCTGCTAGTCCAGGGGAAGATTGATGACAAGGACCTTCCTCCAGAGCTGACAGAGAGAGCCTTCCCCTGGAGCTGACTCCCTGAATTTGGACTTCTAGCCTACTAAATTGTGAGAGAATAAACTTCTGTTTGTTAAAGCCATCTAGTTGTGGTATTTCTGTTATAGCAGCACTAGATGACTAAGACACTCCTTAATCTTGCTTTTTTAACCAATGAGAATATCTCTCTTTAAACTGATTGTTTAGGTCATTTACATGTAACGTAATTATTGATAAGATGAAGTTTAAGTCTATCCTCTTGCTATTTATTTTCTTTTTATCCTGTTTTTTGTTTCTTCTTTCCTTTTCTTTGTTCTTTTACATTCATAAAATGTCTTTTTTTTTTTTTTTGGTTTGTTGTTCCATTATATCCTCACTATCAGCTATACTTCGTGTTTTTTTTGTTTTGTTTTTAGTAGTTGTGCTGAGTCTTACAAAATACATCTTTATCACAGTCTACCTTTAAATTATATTTTCTACTTCACATTAAAGGAGCTCTGGTGATGCAGTGGTTAAGTGCTCTGCTGCTAACCGAAAGGTCAGTGGTTCAAACCCACCGGCCACCCACAGGAGAAAGATGTGGTAGTCTTCTTCCGTAAAGATTTACAGCCTTGGAAACCCTGTGGGAAAGTTCTACTCTGTCCTGCAGGGTCGCTATGAGTCGAAATGGACTCTACGGCAGTGGGTCTACCTTTAGATAGTATTTTCCATCTCACATATAATGTAAGAACCTTAAAACAGAATACCTCTATTTTCCTTCTCCCATTTTTTCTGCTGTTGTTGTTGCCATATGTTATACTTCTACATATGTTATAAACTCTACAGTACACTGTTACTATTTTTGACTTAAGCAGTCAATTATCTTTTTTTATTGTTGCAAAATATACATAACATAAAATTTTCTTGTAACCATTTTTAAATGTTGTATGCTGAGCAGATAATCCAAGAAGCTGGACTATATGAAGAAGAATGGGGCATCAGGAATGGAGGAAGACTCATTAACAACCTGTGTTATGCAGATGACACAACCTTGCTTGCTGAAACTGAAGAGGACTTGAAGCACTTACTGATAAAGGTCAAAGGCCACAGCCTTCAGTATGGATTACACCTCAACATAAAGAAAACAAAAATCCTCACAAATGGACCAATAAGCAACATCAAGATAAATGGAGAAAAGATTGAAGTTGTCAAGGATTTCATTTTACTTGGATCCACAATCAACACCCATGGAAGCAGCAGTCAGGAAATCAAAAGACGCATTGCATTGGGCATATCTGCTGCAAAAGACCACTTTAAAGCGTTCAAACGCAAAGATGTCACCTTGAGGACTAAGGTGCGCCTGACCCAAGCCATTGTGTTTTCAGTTGCCTCACATGCACGTAAAAGATGGAAGACCAAAGACCAAAGAATTGACGCTTTTGAATTGTGGTGTTGGTGAAGAATATTGAATATACCATGGACTGCTAAAAGAATGAACACGTTTGTCTTGGAAGAAGTACAACCAGAATGCTCCTTAGAAGCAAGGATGGTGAGACTACATCTTACATACCAAAAGAACAAACAGGTCTGTCTTGGAAGAAGTACAACCAGAACGCTCCTTAAAAGCAAGGATGGTGAGGCTACGTCTTACATACTTTGGACGTGTTGTCAGGAGAGATCAGTCCCTGGAGAAGGACATCATGCTTGGTAAAGTACAGGGTCAGCGAAAAAGAGGAAGACCCTCAACTAGATGCATTGACACAGTGGCTGCAACAGTGGGCTCAAGCGTAATGATTGTGAGGATGGTGCAGGACCGGGCAGTGTTTTGTTCTGTTGTTCATAGGATCACTGTGAGTTGGAACCAACTCAATAGCACCTAACAACAACATTTTTAAATGTACAATTCAGTGGCATTAATTACATTCACAATGTTTTGTGACCATCATCACCACAATCTATGTCCAAAATTTTTTCATTACCCCAGACAGAAACTCTGTACCCATTAAGCACCATCTCCCCATTCCCTTCTTCCCTAGCCCCTGTTAGCATCTAATCTCTGTCTCTATGATTTTACCTATTCTAGGTACTTAATAAAAGTGGAATCATAATATTTGTCCTTTTGTGTCTGACTTATTTCACTTAGCATAATGTTTTCAAGGTACATCCATGTTGTAGCTTGTATCAGAACTTTCTTTTTATGGCTGGATAATCATCCGTTGTATGTATATACCACGTTTTGTTTATCCATTCATCTGCTGATAGACACTTAGATTGATTTCTACTTTTTGGCTATTGTGAGTAATGTTTCTATGAACATTTGAGTACAAGTATCAGTCTAAGTCCCTGTTTTCACCTCTTTGGGGTATATAACTAGGAAGGGATTGCTAGGTCATATGGTAATTCTGTATTCATCCTTTTGAGGAACCGCCAAACTGTTTCCCACTGAGGCTGTACGATTTTTTTATGAGCCACCAGCAATGCACAAGGGTTGCAGTTTGTCCATATGCTTGGCAACACTTGCTGTTTTCTTTTTTCATTTTTAGTAGACATCCTAGTAGGTGTAAAGTAGTATCACATTGTGGTTTTGACTTGCGTTTCTCTAGTGACTAATGATGTTGAACATCTCTCATGTGCTCATTGGCTGTTTGTATATCTTCTTTGGAGAAATGTCTGTTCAGTCCTTTATCCGTTTTTTAATTGGGTTGTTTGCCTTTTTTGTTGTTGAGTTGTAAAAGTTCTTTATATATTCTAGATACTAGACTCTTACCAGATATATGATTTGCAAATATTCCATTTTTCAGGTTGTCTTTTCACTCTCTTGATAGTGTCCTTTTTTGTGCAAAAGTTTTTAATTTTAATAAATTCCAGTTTATCTCTTTTATCTTCTGTTGCCTGTGCTTTTGTTGTCATATTTGGCAAAGAAACCTTTGCCAAATCCAAGGTCATGAAGAGTTGCCCCTATGTTCTCTTCTAAGAGTCTTAAGAGTTTCTATAAGCATTGATGTTTTATATGAAGAAACTAAAGACCAAGGATATCTTATTAGTTTTCTAATGCTGTGTAACAAATTACTCCAAAACTTAGTGACTTAAAGCAATCAACATTTATCATCTTATTGTTTCTGTGGGTCGGGAATTGAGGCATGGCTTATCTGGGTGCCTGTTGCTCAAGGTCGTCTCGTATGAGGTTGCAGTCAGGGTGTTGGACAAGAGCTGTGTTCTCACCTAAATGCTCTCCTGAGGGCAGATCCACTTCCAAGCTCACTCACATGGTTATTAAGAGGATCTAGTTCCTCACAGACTGTTGGCCAGAGGCCTCCCTCAGTTTCTTGCCACATGAGCCTCTCTGTAGGAAAGCTTCCAACATAGCAGCAGGCTTTCCGCAGAGCAAGGAAGTGAGAGAGCAAGAAAGAGCTCTCTTTGTAACCTAATTTCAGAAGTGATATCCCATCACTTTATCCTATTCTCTCCATTAAAAGTGAGTCAGTAGGTCCAGCCCATACTCAAAGTGAGAGGATTAGACAAGGGCATAAGTAACAGAAAGTGGGGGCTACAGGAGACCATCTAAGAGGCTGTCTACCACAGACTCCAATATATAGAAGCTGATAGCAGCCAAGCCTTTGAAACAGCCCATATTATACCAGGCCCTCTCTACCAGAGTATTTCATGCTCTTTGGTTTTGAAAATAGACTTTTTGGTATTGAAAGTCTCAACTCTACTCTGTATTTTAGGGCTTAGTCTCTGGCCAAAGTAAGCATTATTAGGTCGACTCTTTTTAATAAGATTAGTGCATTTATTAGAAGAGTAAACTTCTTTGTTTTAAAAAGATGCAATTGCTTGAAAGTTTAAGATAGGCCTTTATTCTTTCTCATGATACACTCTCATTTTAATTTTTTCTTTTAGCCCTGGTTGCTGCTATGAAACAGCTATAACAAGATATTTTTATCATGGTCGTACAGAGACTATGCGATCATGTACGGTAGAAGCAGTCAGATGGTGCCAGTCCATGCAGGATCCTTATGCCCACGTGAGTATTTGAAAAGGAGAAATTCACCAGATTTGTTTAATTTTTCTAAAGGTGTCTCGGCCCTTGAGTAACTAACTGCTTTGCTTCAAATTTTCCTGGATTGTTAAAATACTTTCAGACTTTTTTTTCCTTGAAGTTTTCAAAGCATTTGTTCATTTGTCAGTGAAGTGTATGTTGTTGTTAGGTGCCATCAAGTCAGTTCTGACTCATAGCGACCCTATGTACAATAGAACAAATACTGCCCTGTCCCCCGCCATCCTCACAGTTGTTGCTGTGTTTGAGCCCATTGTTGTAGCCAGTGTGTCAGTCCATCTTGTTGAGGGTCTACCTCTTTTTCGCTGACCCTCTTTCTTATTTTTCCAAGTGTGTGCTTGGAAAGAATAAGAAACAGGGAGGGCCAGGGAGGAATAACAGTAGTCTGTCTTCCTGAGCATGTTTGAAAGGGCTTCTCAGTGACTTTGGAGAATATTTCTTCATTCAGGATTTGAGCAGAAGCCCGTTTGATTCATTTTCTAGATAAAGTCTTTCAATACATTACTTCAGTACTACTGATCTATCTTTAGAACAATACCAGTAAAGTGCAGACTCTCCCAAAGTACCTTTGAAGAAAGGAAGCTTTTCTTGATTTGGTTGAACATGTTTAAAATCACAGTTATGTTATTGTTTTCATGTATTAGAACCAGACAGTTTTGTTTTGACAACCAGAGAAAAATCATGTTTAACTGTAATTTTCTCTTTCATGCTTTTCTGTATTTCCCAAATTCTCTAACATGGTCCTATATTACTTTTAGGCATTTATAACTCCTTTTATTAATTTTTTTGGGAGAGAGGTGTATTCCATAACACATTTACATGATTCCAAATTGAAAAGGCCGAATAGCTGCCAGACACTTTTATGTTTTGTTTTATCCTTTCATTTTTTTTAGCATTTTAACAACAGTGTATTTCCTTCCCACTGCTATTTTGCTGTTTGTGTCTTTGATTTTGATAGACATAATCGTGTATGTTGATTTAATTTCATAGAATTGCTTTATTATCATATTTGTGCATTTATGCATTTGTTTTTTGAAATCACAGTTGCTTCTCTCTTTATACTTGTTAATGTCACTTCATCGCTGCCCAAGTATCTGTTTTCCTGTTGCAGGAAAGAAAGGGGTCCCTGGGTGGTGCAAATGGCTAACGTGCTTGGCTGCTAACTAAAAGGTTGGAGGTTTGAGTCCACTCAGAAGTGCCTCAGAAGAAAGGTCTGGCAGTTTACTTCTGAAAAATTAGCCATTGAAAACCTTATGGAGTACAGTTCTACTCTGACACAAATAGGGCCACCATGAGTCAGAATCGACTTGACAACACCTGGTCGTTGTTGTTTTATAGGAAAGAAAATGCAGTAGGATAAGTAGGAAAAACACATATAAGCGTGTGTCACAGGTCTTCTTAGAAATCTTCTTTTCTCTTTCCTAATTACCCAAATCCTAATTACATTGACTGCTGGTGTTTTGTTTGTTTGGTTTTTGTACAGTTGTTATTAAAGCATCTCTTGATTTTTGTTTACACAGCTTCATGAGCGGCGGCAAAAAATGTTACAAGCTTTTGCAAAGCATAATGAAATGATGAAAGACTGTTCCAATGGAAAAGGTACTTAGATTGGAATCATTCTGATGTTTTTAAAAAATTTTTCTCATGTTGAAAAATGTTTTCTAACTTCAGTTTTGAGGTTTTATTGCAGGATTTGACCGTCATCTTTTAGGTCTCTCACTCATAGCAAAAGAGGAAGGTCTCCCTGTTCCAGAGATCTTTACAGACCCACTTTTCTCCAAAAGGTAATACAATATAGTGTTTTATAGCTTCATCAGCTGGTTTGTTTTTTGTGTGACTGTTAAAAAAATCTTTGGAAACAGTATAAGTATCTGTTGGCCTAATAAAATATCCTTCCTTTGTGCCACATAGTGGAGGAGGTGGAAATTTTGTTCTGTCAACAAGTCTGGTTGGTTATTCACGAACCCGAGGATTGGTGGTTCCCATGGTACACAATGGCTATGGGTTTTTCTACAACATCAGAGATGACAGGTGAGGCTGTTCTTTTTTATTCTTGCTGTGCTATAGAGTGAGAAAGCTATCACTTTTGTTGTTTGAGTATTTTTCCTACACTATGATTCTGATTATGTTGTCATCTGTTACTTGCTTCCTAGACAGCTATTTTTACCACTTAGACAGTTGTTTTTTATTGAACTTCAGATGAACGTTTACAGAACAAAGTAGCTTCTCATTAAACAGTACATACATTGTTTTATGACATTGGTTAACAATCCCATGACATGTCAGTACTCTCCCATCTTGACCTTGGGTTCCCTATTATCAGCTTTCCTGTCCCCTCCTGCCTTCTAGTCCTTGCCACTGGAGTGGTGTGACCCTTTAGTCTCATTTTGTCCTATGGGTCTGTCTAATCTTTGGCTAGAAGGTGAACCTCCAGAGTGACTTTATTACTGAGTTAAAGGGTATCTGGGGGCCATACTCTCAGGGTTTCTCCAGTCTCTGTCAGGCCAGTAAGTCTGGTCTTTTTTTTTTTTTTTAAGTTAGAATTTTTCTCTACATTTTTCTCTAGCTCTGTCCAGGACCTTCTATTGTGATCCGTGTCAGAGCAGTCAGTGGTGGTAGCTGGGCACCATCTAGTTGTACTGGACTCAGTCTGGTGGAGGCCATGGTAGTTGTGGTCTATTAGTCCTTTGGACTAATCTTTCCCTTGTGTAGTTTTCTTCATTTTCCCTTGCTCCTGAAGGGGTGAGACCAGTGGAGTATCTTAGATGGCTGCTCACAGGCTTTTAAGACCCCAGATGCTACTCATCAAAGTAGAATGTAGAACATTCTCTTTATAAACTATGTTATACCAGTTGAGCTAGATGTTCCTGAGACCATGGTCCCCATAGCCCTCAGCACAGTAATTTGGTCCCTAAGGGAGTTTGGATTTATCCATGGAGCTTCCATGACCTTACCCTGAACAAGTTGTGCTGGCATCCCCAATATTGTGTACTGTCTTACCCTTTACCAAGGTTACTACTTAGCTATTGTCTATTTAGTGTTTCTCCACTCCCACCCCTCCCCTCCCTTGTAACCATCAAAGATTGTTTCTTTTTGTATGTAAACCTTTTCATGAGTTTTTATAGCAGTGATCTCCTACAGTATTTGTCCTTTTGTGATTGACTTATTTAACTCAGCATAATGCCCTCCAGATTCATCCATCTTGTGAGATGTTTTGCACATTCATCATTGTTCTTTATCATTGCATAGTATTCCATTGCATGTATGTACCATAGTTTGTTTATCCATTCATCTGTTGATGGGCACTTAGGTTGTTTCCATCTTTTTGCATTGTAAATAATGCTGCAGTGAACATGGGTGTGCATATGTCTATTGGTGTGATGGCTCTTACTTCTCTAGGATTTATTTCTAGAAGTGGGATTGCTGGATCACATGGTATTTCTATTTCTAGCTTTCTAAGGAAGCACCATATTGTTTTCCAAAATGGTTGTATCATTTTGCATTCCCACTAGCAGTGCATAAGACTTCCAATCTCCCTGTAGCCTCTCCAGCGTTTGTTATTTTCTGTTTTTTTGATTTGTGCCAGTAATGGCGGGGTGAGATGGTATCTCATTGTGGTTTTGATTTGGATTTCCCCTGTGGCTACTGATCGCGAGCATTTCCTTGTGTGTCTGTTAGCCGCTTGAATATCTTCTTCGGTGAAGTGTCTGTTCATTTCCTTTGCCCATTTTTTAATTGGATTATTTGTCTTTTTGTTGTAGAGATGTTGGATTTTCCTGTAGATTTTAGAGATTAGACCTTTGTCGGATTTGTCATAGCCAAAAATTCTTTCCCAGTCTGTAGGTTCTCTTTTTACTCTTTCAGTGAAGTCTTTTGATGAACATAAGTGTTTAATTTTTAGAAGATCCCAGTTATCTAGCTTATCTTCTAGAGTTTGTATCTTGTTACTTATGGTTTGTATCCTGTTAATGCCATATATTAGGGTCTCTAGCATTGAAACTATTTTTTCTTCTATGATCTTTATAGTTTTTGGCTTTATATTTAGGTCTTTGATCCATTTTGAATTAGTTTTTGTGTATGGTGTGAGGTATGGGTCTTGTTTTCATTTTTTTGCAAATGGACATCCAGTTTTGCCAGCATGATTTGTTAAAAAGACTGTCTTTTCCCCATTTGACGGACTTTGGGCCCTTGTGGAAGATCAGGTGACCGTAGGTGGATGGATTTACATCTAGGTTCTCCATTCTGTTCCATTGGTCAGTGTATCTATCATTATACCAGTACCAGGCTGTTCTGACTACCATAGCTGTATAGTAGGTTCTGAGGTCAGGTAGTACCAGTCTTCCTTTATTCTTCTTCTTCAATAACGCTTTCCTTATCCGGGATCTCTTCCCTTTCCATATAAAGTTAATGATTGTTTTTTCCATCACTTTAAAGAATGTTGTTGGTATTTGGATCAGGATTGCATTGTATTTGTAGATTGCTTTGGGTAGAATTGCCATTTTCACAATATTGAGTCTACCTATCCATGAGCATGGTATCTTTTTCCATTTATGTAGATCTCTTTTTCTTTCTTGCAGTAGTGTTTTGTAGTTTTCTTTGTATGGGTCTTATTCATCCCCGGTTAGATTTATTCCTAAGTATTTTACTTTTAAGGACTATTATAAATGGTATTGTTTTCCTCATTTCCTTTTCATCGTCCTCTTTGTTGGTGTATAGGAATCCAACTGATTTTTGTATGTTTATCTTGTATCCTGCTACTCTGCTGAATCCTTCTATTAGTTCCAGTAGTTTTCTCGTGGAGTCTTTAGGGTTTTCTGTGTATGGTATCATATCATCCACAAACAGGGACAGTTTAACTTCTTCATTACCAATTTGGATGCCCTTTATTTCTTTTTCTTACTTATTGCTCTAGCTAGGACTTCCAGCACAATATTAAATAGTAGTGGTGATAAAGGACATCCTTGTCTTGTTCCTGTTCTCAAGGGGAATGTTTTCAGCTTCTCTCCATTAAGAATGATGTTGGCTGTTGGTTTTGTATAGATGCCCTTTATTATGTTGAGGAATTTCCCTTCTATACCTATTTTATTGAGAGTTTTTATCAGGAATGGGTGTTGGGTGTTGGACTTTGTTGAATGCCTTTTCTGCATCAACTGAGATGATCATGTGATTCTTTTATTTTGTTCATGTGGTGGATTATGTGATTGATTTTCTAATGTTGAACTACCCTGGCATACCTGGTATGAATCCTACTTGGTCCTGGTGTATTATTTTTTGGATATGATGCTGAATTCTCTTGGCTACAATTTTGTTGAGAATTTTTGCATCTATATACATGAGAGATATTGGTGTGTAATTTTCTTTTTTTGTGGTCTTTGCCTGGTTTTGGTATCAGGTTTATGCTGGCTTCGTAGAATGAATTTGGAAGTATCCCTTCCTTTTCTGTGTTCTGAAATAATTTGAGTAGCACTAGTGTAAGCTCTTCTCTGAATGTTTGGTAGAATTCCCCAGTGAAGCAATCTGGGCGAGGGCTTTTTGTTGTTGGAAGTTTTTTTATTACCTTTTCAATCATTTCTCTTGTTACAGGTCTGTTCAGATTTTCAACATCAATTTGTAATCGTTTGGGTAGGTAGTGTGTTTCTAGAAATTAGTCTGTTTCCTCTAGATTTTCAAATTTGTTGGAGTATAGTTTTTCATAATAGTCTGTTATGATCCTTTTTATATCAGTTGGGTCTGTTGTAATGTCCCCATTTCATTTCTTATTTGGGTTATTTGCATCCTCTCCTGTTTTTCTTTTGTCAGTTTGGCCAGTGGTTTGTCGATCCTTTCAAAGAACCAACTTTTGGTTTTATTGATTCTTTCTATTGTTTTTCTGTTCTCTGTTACATTTATTTCTGCTCTGATCTTTATTATTTCTTTTCTTCTGGTGACTGTGGGGTTCTTTTACTGTTCTTTTTCTATTTGTTGGAGTTTTGTAGCTAATGTTTTGATTTTGTCCCTTTCTTCTTTTTTGATTTGTGCATCTGTTGCTATAAATTGACCTCTGAGCGCTGCGTTTGCTGTGTCCCAAAGGTTTTGATATGATGTGTTTTCATTCTCATTTGATTCTAGGAATTTTTTGATTCCATCTTTGATTTCTTCTGTTACCCAGTGGTTTTTAAGCATGGTGTTATTTAGTTTCCATGTAATTGATTTTTTTTCCCCTTGGTCTTCATGTTGTCAATTTCTACTTTGATGGCATTGTGATCAGAGAAGATACTTTTTTTATCTCAGTGTTTTGGATTTTGTTGAGGGTTGCTTTGTGGCCTAATATGTGGTGTCTTCTGGAGAATGTTCCATGTGCATTGGAAAAGAAGGTGTACTTTGCAGCTGTTGGTTGGAGTGTTCTATATATGTCTGTGAGTTCAAGTTGGCTGATGGTGGCCTTTAGGTCTTCTGTATCTTTGTTGAGTTTCTTTCTAGATGTTCTGTCCTTTACCGAGAGTGGTATGTTAAAGTCTCCTACTTGTATAGTGAAACTGTCAATTTCTCTTTTCAGTGCTGTTAAATTTTGTTTTATGTATTTCAGACCCCTGTTATTGGGTGTGTAGATATTTATTATGGTTATGTCTTCATGCTGGATCGTACCTTTAATCTTGATATAGTGCCCTTCTTTGTCTTTTATGGTGGGTTTTGTTTTAAAGTCTGTTTTATCTGAGATTGGTATTGCCACTCCTGCTCTTTTTTGGTGGCTGTTTGCTTGATATATTTTTTTCCATCCTTCGATTTTTAATAATTTATGTCTTTGTTTCTAAGGTGTGTCTCTTGTAGACAGCATATTGATGGATCCTGTTTTTTTAATCCATTCTGTCGCTTCTGTTCCTTTATGGGTGCATTTAGGCCATTTACATTCAGGGTAATTATTGATAGGTGTGAGTTTATTGTTGTCATTTTGTAGTGCTTTTTTTTTTGTGGTGCTGACAGTTTCTTTGTTCCTCTTACTCGCCTGTGCTGAATTCCTTTTGTTTGTGGAGTTCTTTTTTTTCATTTGTTTT